AGCCAATCTTCTTCACTTCCTCTTCCTTCCACACTTTTCTCTCTCTCCTCTCTCCTTGGACCCTCTCTCTCTCTTTCTTTACTATCAACTTGGGTGAAAGAACCAAAATAAGAATTTGCTTGAAACAATTCCTTCACCAAAAGAATGCTAAAGTGTGGGGGAAGGACAAGTAAAAGATAAGAGGCAATACTCAGTTATAAAAAATTGTGCTTTTGTTATTATCTCTTTATGTCTTCAACATCTTTCTTAGTAAGGAAAAACCCAAAAAAAAAGGATAGGATCATTAAGAGTTATTAGCATTATTAGTTGGTGTGCTTCAGTACTATAAAAAAAGGAAGGTAAGAGATCTGGTATATGGTTAAGAGTGTGTTTGTGTGTGAATAAGGTTGGTGAAGATGTCAAGTGGTGGATGCAGCATAGTTTGGTTCAGAAGGGATCTGAGGGTTGAGGATAACCCTGCACTGATGGCAGGAGTAAGAGCAGGATCTGTTGTTGCTGTTTTCATTTGGGCTCCTGAAGAAGAAGGTCAATACCAACCTGGTAGGGTTTCAAGGTGGTGGCTTAAGCATAGTTTGGCTTACCTTGATTCATCTTTGAGAAATCTTGGAACCCCTCTTATTACTAAGAGATCCACTGATAGTGTTTCTGCTCTATTAGAGGTTGTTAAGTCCACTGGTGCTACTCAACTTTTCTTTAACCACTTATATGGTAAGTTTGAATAACTTTGGCTTCATATGTTTCTGTCTATTACCTCATATGTTTCTGTAATTATCATTCTAATTTGTTTTGTTACAATACAACAATTCATATTTTGGTTGGTTTATTGCTTAGTAATGATACTGATGAACAATATCATGGTAGGTTTTAGGATCCTTGATTTTATCGATTCCAATTGTCTCTTTTATCATTTTGGTAAATTGTGTTAGTTATTAGTTAGGTAGAAATTTATGGCACAAGGCATTATGATTGTTTGATTTCTTATTTTACTTCCCACTTTGTACTGCATGGTGATATTTTTTTACTTCAATTATTGGATTAAATACTGTCCCTAAATGTCTGCTTGTAATTTTCTGTATTGCAGATCCATTGTCACTTATCAGGGATCACCGAACAAAGGAGGTTCTGACTGCTCATGGCATAACCGTGCGTTCCTTTAATTCAGACTTATTGTATGAACCATGGGATGTCAACGATGACCGTGGCCAACCATTCACAACTTTTGATGCTTTTTGGGAAAGATGCCTTAACATGCCTTATGACCCACAATCACCTTCTCTCCCACCTAAAAGGATTATTCCAGGTCTACTTTTATTCAATTCTTTCCTTATCCTGGTATTTCTTTGAGCTTTTTATTGATGACATTGATTGTTTGCCAACTGCGCAACTCAATGAGCTCTACTAGTACTTGTTTGAATTCAGAATTAGTGAACAAAATATTCAAATTAATGAACATCTTGTTGAGTTCTTCTGGTGCTTGTTTGAATTCAGAGTTAATGAACAAATTATTCAAACTCTGCTTTAAACCTTTTGAAATTTGAACATAGCAATAAGGTGCAAAAGAAAAAGCATATTATATAACATGATGCAGTTTATTTTAAATTTTATATGAAAATGCAATATTATTTATCTTCGTGTCTAATTAACTATCAGGCATCCAAATGTAAAATTCAACAAATATCTATTGAGGTGCACAACTCTGGCTTCTGGTGTTCAGATTGGCTCGTCTGCATCTGTTGTGTCTTATTGCTATTATAATTTCTTTATGTATGTGTACTTGAGCACTTGCTACATGCTTTTGTTTGAGGCATTGTCATTTTTCATGAACCATTAGTCTGGACTTTAATATGCACTTTCTAATATATCTTCCCTTCTTCCAGGAGATACATCAAGGTGCCGGAGTGATACATTGGTGTTTGAAGATGAATCAGAGAAGTCAAGCAATGCACTTCTTGCTCGAGCATGGTCACCCGGGTGGAGTAATGCAGACAAGGCTTTGACAACATTTATAAATGGTCCACTGATTGAGTACTCAGAAAATCGCAGGAAGGCTGACAGTGCAACAACCTCATTTCTGTCCCCTCATTTACATTTCGGTGAGGTGAGTGTCAAGAAAGTTTTCCATCTTGTCCGGATCAAGCAAGTACTTTGGGCAAATGAAGGAAATAAGGCTGGTGAAGAAAGTGTTAACTTGTTTCTCAAGTCTATTGGGCTTAGAGAGTATTCAAGGTACATCAGTTTCAACCATCCATATAGTCATGAAAGGCCTCTTCTAGGCCACCTCAAGTTTTTTCCTTGGGTGTTAAATGGAGGCTATTTTAAGGCGTGGAGACAAGGCAGAACAGGTTACCCATTGGTGGATGCTGGCATGAGAGAGTTATGGGCCACTGGTTGGCTTCATGATCGGATACGTGTTGTTGTTTCTAGTTTCTTTGTGAAGGTTCTGCAGCTTCCTTGGAGATGGGGAATGAAGTATTTCTGGGATACCCTGTTGGATGCTGATCTTGAGAGTGATGCTCTTGGTTGGCAGTACATAACTGGTACTCTACCTGATGGTCGTGAATTTGACCGAATAGATAATCCACAGGTGCAGTTGCTTCTATCAAAGTTAGCATGATATAGACCATTCAGATTAATAGTCATTTGTTTGCATCTTTTTCATTGTGTTCTGTAATCTGGAACAGAAAATCATAGCATGTATTGCTCAACCCTGTTATATATTCTGTTTTGGTTTCTATAATTTGTTCACATAGTCAGAGATTCTTATGGGGCTATTGAGACTTGAGAGTTTTTCCTGAGTTAAATAAAGCAATAATGCTTTGTACTACCTTCTCTAGACTTCCCCAAATACTCTAATGCTAAAAGGCTATCTGACTATGGCTTCTGAATTTCTTTGTGGAAAAGCTTCAATGCTTGAAATTCTCAGGATAGACAATATATTTTTGCTTTCTCTGGGCATTCCCTATTGAAAATTGTAGTTATTTATCCTTATTATCTGTGAATATAGTCAGGTATATGATTGATTATAACTATGAGTTTTAAGTTTTTATTTTTTATTTTTATATATGTTTAGATTGATTTTTGTTTTCTCTAATGTTAGGGACAATTGGAGTGAATTCTCACCCTGTAATTATGAACTTTGATATTGACATTTTGGGTTTAATGCTATTTGAATGCTTAAAATGATATATTTCTAGTGATAGATGCACTGATTTGAGTTATTTGGTTTTCTATTCTAGTTTGAGGGATACAGATTTGACCCCAATGGAGAATATGTACGACGCTGGCTTCCTGAGCTTTCCAGATTACCAACTCAATGGATACATCATCCATGGAATGCGCCAGAATCTGTAATTCAAGCTGCTGGTATTGAACTTGGATCAAACTACCCTCTTCCAATTGTGGGAATAGATGAAGCAAAAGCAAGACTGCAAGAAGCACTGCTACAAATGTGGCAACAAGAAGCAGCTTATAGAGCTGCGACTGAAAATGGAACTGAGGAAGGGCTTGGAGATTCCTTTGAGTCAACCCCGATTGCTTTTCCCGATGACATACAAATGGAGGAAAGACATGAACCTGCTAGGAACAATCCTCCTCCTGCTGCAGCTACTCGGCGCTACGAGGATCAGATGGTCCCGAGCATCACTTCTTCCTTGGCAAGAGTGGAAGAGGAAGAAACTTCATTGGATGTTCAAAACTCAGCAGAAGAGAACAGAGCTGAAGTTCCAGTAAATGTGATTGCACAACAAAATGCAAGAGAGACAGTGTTGCGCACTGCTAACCGGAACACTCAACTACCACATAATAATACTACGATGTGGTTGAGAAATGCAGCTGAAGATTCTACAGCAGAATCTTCAAGTAGTACTAGGAGAGAAAGGGGTGGAGAAGTTCCAGAGTGGTCTCCCACAGCTTCTAGTTACCCAGAGCCATTTGTAGATGATGAAAATGGTATAGGAGCCAGTTCATCTTACTTGCAGAGGCATCCTCAGTCTCACCAATTGATGAATTGGACAAGGTTACCTCAAACTGGGTGAGATTTCTCAAACCACTGATAAAACTAATAACCAATATCTAATTTTTTATTATGGAAATCATCGCGCCAATGTTCTAGATGATGTTGTTTCTGATCTAATGATAATGATATTTTTCTTGTCTTGTTACAATCAATATTTTGGCTACAGGTAATTCACTTCTAAAACAAGCAGACTAGAGAAGCAGGTAGGTGGAAAGTGCATTCTCCTCTTCTTTCGGAAAGTGGGACGGAGAACCTCGCACCGGCCATACATATACTTGTGTTCATTTCCTACTTCTTAAACCAGTCATGACATTTATTAACAGCTGACTTCCAAATGTGTATGAAAAATTCAATTCATACAGGCAGTTTCATCTGCAGTCTCTTTTGTTTTCTTTTACAATGTGTAGGCCTACAGTATAGTATATTTTGTGCAGTGAGGAAGAAGGAACCACTAGTGGATCTTTACTCCTCTAATAAACTCATGTTTGTGATTATCATTTAAGGTAGATATATCACTTTTATAATCTCTGCCTTCTTCACTTGAGTTTAGTAGTGTAAAGTTTCTTTATCATTAAAAATGGTGGACTTTCTAGATAATTGTTGTGATAGTCAAGCTTTTTAATTGATCTAGCAATATAAGATTAGGTGATATGTTTTTTGGTGTGCAATGAAGTTAAATCATGTATATATTTTTAACTCATATTGGTGCTCACATTTCTGAATTCTCCATAGTGAGTTTCTAAACGACACTGCTAAAACAAATTCCCCTTGTTTTCGAAATTCTTTGCCAGAAATTTGCTATTCTCGAGTAAGAGATACCAATTCTCGCAACATATGTAGTACTTTATTGCTTACCAAAAATATTTGTTACATATACATATACACACAATGGCACAACCCTTTGATATTTTCTGAATATTATCCCAGGCTAGCAATAATAATTGGTATGCTTCATAACTGCTACTTCTCACTTCTCAGAAACAAAGGCAATACACACTTATAGATGAACTGTTAAAGTTACAACAAGATCATGGTCATGGGTTGGAAGGGTAGTGTTTGATGGGTCAGAACTCAGAAGGGAAGTTTAAAAAAAAAGTATGTTTGCATAAGCAACATTGTTCAGGTGCGGTCTTCAGGTTTAGCTGGGTGGGATACCCTTAGGAACTTGTAAAGCACAGTTGCAAAGATAGCTCCCAGAGTAGGACCTATGAGATAAACCCAAATGTTTTTGTAAATACCAGAGACTATGGCAGGGCCTAAACTCCTTGCAGGATTCATGGATGCTCCAGTAATGGGCCTTCAGAAAAATGTAATTGGTTCAGTTATCAGCACTTCCAATTTCCACAATATATATATATATAGGGACAGTAGTTTATATTTTAAGAATGTGAGAATAGTGAATCTTAACCATTTTACTTGACCATGGGATTTCTTGACTCTTCAACATTATATTGTAAATGTATATAAGCTACTTTTTTAAGAGGTCATAGGATCATTGAGTAACTTTTAATTTTGGACATGCATGTATCATTTTATGACGGACCATTCACTGTTTTCAGAGTCTTCAAATACAAATTCTTCTCTATGTCCATATATAGAAGCAGTTTTTTTTTGAGATATCTATAGAAACAGTTTGTTTACCCAGCAATGATGACGTTAATGAGAACTGAAATGCCTATTGCAGCTCCTGCAAGGTCTTTGCTCTGTGTCAATCAATGAAGGTGCTTAATTAGTTTTGAGATAACTGAAAATGCAACACTTAAAGATAGTATCAAATAAAGAATCTGATAACCAAAATACATACATAAAGGGTTTATTTAACCTTTGAACTTAATATTGAACATTATGGCCATAGAACATGCATACAAATAGAAAGATCAACATAGCTATGACTAAGATAATCCATGGCAAATTATAATAAACACTACCCCTCTGTGATCAGTGGCAACACCACAAATAGTGAGCATGAGTATAGAAGTGATTATGAATTCCCACACCAAAGCTTCAAGGTGAGAAGTTGAATTGGTGAATTGAGTCACTGTCACTCCAATATCGACCTTATCATGATACAACAATTTGAGGGTGAAGATGGCCAGTGTTGCACTCATAAACTGGCACAACACATAAATAGGTACCTAAAAAACAATACAAGAGATAAATGTTAAGCACCATTTAACCATTACAAGAAGCTATTAGAAAGCGTGGCTTACAAGTTTCAATTGAATTTTTCGCACTGTTGCCAAAGCAATTGTAACTGCAGGATTGAAATGACCACCAGAAACATGACCAACTGAATAAAAAGCCACTGTCAAAGCTAGACCCGCAACCATAGCTATGCCTACTATTGTAAGTGGCAACCTCTCGTTAACAAGAGCAGCACCACACCCTGCAAATATAAGAATGTATGTACCTACGAACTCAGCAATAGCCTACATGGAAAAAAACATATTAGGCACATGAGCATAAAACAAGTTAACTAGATATAACGTTAATGATTCTACATATATGTCTTGATGATTAATTTTAAAGTTTTTTCACGCTTTTATCTACCTTTTGAATGTTAGATGGAGAGTGTTCAGGCTCTATTTGGTCCTGATTGGACTTTCTTTGTCTATGTGCTTTTTCAGGAGGGAATTCAGGTTTAGGTGGAGAATCAACCATAACTGTTAGTGAATCAGCCATAATAGCACTTTGATGTTAAGGCTTAGGGGAAAGTGTAGCTACAGATTCGTTCCCTTATATGCACACATGCAGCAGCAGTGTAGTGTATATTCGGCAGTCCTGTGTATGAGGCTCCTATTAGACAATATAACTGTTTCTAATATTTGAAATTGTGATTTTTTATTGACCAAGTATATTTTGAAAGGCAATATATCTCTTATGACATTTTAAAATAAAAAGTGTCACATCATAAAGCCTGAACTTGAAAAATGAGATTTTGGGTTTTTATGCACTTATCTACAACAGAAAACGGCAGAAACGATTTGGAGGTTACAAGAGTTAAATTATATGTATCTCTGTTCGTTGGTGGGAAGCCTATTAGAATAATGATGTGCCAGGTTAGGTAGTTACAAATAAGAACAAATAAATTGATTAGTGTTTCAAATCCTTGGCCGGCAATTATTAATGCTCATAATTTAGCTGAAATCATTCCATGAGGCCATTGTAGAAACCAAACAATTGTACTCTTAGGCACATTTGAACGGGGACGACTCATTGACTTTCGATGATATGCCATTTTTGGCAAAACACTCTCAAAAGTTGGCTAGGGGTATAAAAACTAATGTGTGTGTTAAAACTGATTGATATATATATTGGTTGAAAAGTTACATCCAGGCCAAAAAAGCATGGCTGAATGTTAATAAAATTGTGAAAACTAGATGTAGTTCAATTAGAATAATTGATCCCAATACTCTTATGATATCATAATTATATTAGATTGTCTAATTATACTGGTCAAAATTGATTGTAATGATGAATTTTCAACTTCATTATATTAGTACCCTAATATCAGAATTTATAGGAATTTTCAAAAAACTTCACTAACCAAATAAGACTATAAATTTATTTTTGTTCAAATAAACACGTTAATTGACTTATAATCCCCTTCAAAGCCTTCTTAAACACACTAGAAATGATGTGAAAGAACTTACAGGGATTATTTTAGTGGCTTTTTCAAACGAGGACTTATACACAGGGCTTTTCTAAAACTTCCTTCTTACCGAACAAAACTACAAAGTTATTTTTGGTCATGAGTCACTCGTGTTACCCAATACACTCATGGCGTGATTTTTTTGACATGGATAGAGGCATATTCTGGCTAACGAGAGGGTACTAGGCTGGATTTTACCTCTACTCTTTTTATTTTGTATATTCTTTTAATAAAGCAATAGATTAAATACATTCAGAAGAACAGGGATCGCAAAAGTAAAGTGTACACCAATGATGTAGAGTGATTATCATGATTTTTACATGTAATATTTTCGAAAAATATATGTTCTTTAACTCAGTTGTCTTTAATAAATTATTGTCTTTCTTTAAAGTTCATAATTAAGAACCTGCTAACTCCACCCCTAAACTAATATTGAATACAATATGGTAAATTAGCTAGTATCAATGATGTGTCAAATTAGGGTGGAGTCAAGGAAAACATATTTTAATATGTTGATTGATTGATGCCTCTATTTATTCAATAATAATTGTATCCTTTATAACGAAAATGTTACTCTACTCTTATGTACTTCATTTTTCTACACTTTTACACATTCCTTCTTTTATAGGGTAAAGGAAAAGAAGGCTATAAAAATAAATTCTTTAACATTTTATGGTTATATGTCATGTTAAATTAGGGTTAACATAGCTTAGTCACTCATGTTTGGAAGGAGCTACACAAGATTTAGAATCCTTAATTACTTTTAGGTAAAGTGGTGGAATGTTGCATTGTAGATGGTGAAAGTCATGTAGCAATAAAAATCACTAGCTTGCACTGAAACTCAAGTAACAGCTGGTACTTCTACCTACCTTATTACTCTACTCTTATAAATTAGCAAGGTACTCTTATTTTTCACACTACCACCACCAAATGTTGACCAATTTACTTCTACCTACCTCTAACCAAGAAGCATCATGGATCTTCAAAGATTAGTCTGGATATATCAAATATTCATTATTCATTAAAGAACTTCATTGGTGAATAAAAAATAATAGAGATGAGGTAGTTACTATGATCTCCTTATTAAAGTCAAGGTATATATGTCATCATATACTTCAATTACCTTACAATAATAGGGTGGAGGGAAGAGGGGTGTAGCCTGCTCTACTACACTAATTATTATACAGAAAAAAAGCATAAAATGCTTATATGATGACTGGGAACTGAAATTAGATGCCCACCAACAATAAAACTCAATTATACTTTTTTCCCTCAAGAAGGTATACTTTGCATGAAATTTATAGTACCTATAAAAGGGTAGTTCTTCTTCTACATGAAATTCATATTACCTATAATAGGAAATAAAACTATTATTGAGGAGCCTGGACCTTACTAGCTTAGGATGGGTACTGAATATGATGACTAGGGTTAATCCTTAACCTAAGAAATTATGGTTGCCAAAATTACTTGAACACAAAAAAAATGAGACAAAGGACTAAATGCAGCATTGAAATCTTGTTCAAACAATTAAATTGTATTGAATGGTTGATGGCTGACTAGTCATCTCATTCAAGAATTGATGTATATATACAATAAAATAAAGAGAAAAGTTGGAATCTAAATTTGGACCAATTCAATATATTGGTCAATGATTCTATAGTTTGAAAAGGTAAAATCTTAAGTCAACTTCTTCGTGGAGGCGTAAGGAAAATTGGGTCATTTCAAATAAAACTGCCATTAATATTGATTATATAATTTGTGAACTAATGGATCGTCCATGTCGTTCAACATCCAAACTTTATACTTTTTGTAATTGAAATTATTAACTATGTAAAAATTATAATTTAACTTGCTATAAACAAGTTTCTCATTACAGTTATAATATCAATTGCAAGTGAAAACATTCCATTAAAGTTTTTTTTAGATGGACTCGTGAAAATCATGTGATCTAAAGAGATTGTTCTTGTGGAAAATAAATAATCAATAATGAGAGAAAGTTTTGGTAATTACAATGATACATGAAATAAACTAGTTGAAATCAAAGTGACGAACTATATTTATTAATATTGTTAATCTAAGTTTGCTTAATGGACAGTATAAAAGTTTGCTTGACTTAAAGATCGCCTTAGTTGATTTATATTAAATTCATTCTTGTATCTAGTATTTAGTACATATGATAGTTTCTCAAAATCACGAAGTTTGAGGTAACAATCAAAAGAAAAATCAACAATGAGCAAAGTTATGATAATTTGAAATAACAAGTTGAAATCAAAGTGAAGACTTATATTTATTAATCGAGAATAATGTATATTCCGGTATAATGAGATAAGTTATTTCCTCTAGCCACTAAAATCGTGACATGTGTATCATTTAATCATTTTCTATAAAAATATTTTTAAAACTAAACAAAACAATACACATGTCATTCTTTTACTAACCGGAGGAGGTAAGTTATCTCCTAATATAATGATATACATTATTTCTTATTAATATTATCAACCTAAGTTTGCTTCACGGACAATATAAAAGTTTGTTTGACTTAAAAATCACTCTAGTTGATAAATTAATGTGGATAAATAAAATTTATATTAAATACATTCTTCTACATTGTATTTAATATGATGTATCTCAAAATCATAATGTCCGAATTGATAATCAAAAGAAAAACCAACCTTGAGTGAGTGTTTCGATAATTACAATAATACATGAAATCAGCTAGCTAAAATCAAAATGAAGACTTATATTTATTTAATGTGGTTTGCTAACATGGGGAATGTGTATTTTCAGTTAGGTACATGTTAGCAAGGTGTACCAAAAGATTTGGACAAAATTACCCTTAAAGTTTTGTGTAACATGTTTTAGTAACTAGGGGTACTTATGTAATTTAATTCGATTACTAGTATAGTGTAATCGATTACCAAACTCAACGGAAGTAATCAATTACTAGTATAATGTAATCGATTACTAGTATAGTGTAATCGATTACTAGTATAGTGTAATCGATTACCAAAATTTCAAATACAAACTCACCGGATTGATGTAATCGATTACCAAACATAGTGTAATCGATTACAATGTGAAAAATGCACATATCTGATGCTTTTAATATGTTGTAATCGACTACTAGTATAGTGTAATCGATTATATCATACAAAATGCACATATCTGATGCTTTTAATATGTTGTAATCGATTAGTAGTATAGTGTAATCGATTACGTCATACAAAATGCACAGGTCTGATTAGTTTATCATCATGTAATCGATTACCAGGATAGTGTAATCGATTACACTGTTTAAAGTTAAATTACATAAGTATCCATAGTTACTAAAACATGTTACCCAAAACTTTAAGGGTAATTTTGTCCAAATGTTTTGGTACACCTTGCTAACATGTAACTAACTGAAAATACACATTCCCCATGTTAGCAAACCCATTATTTAATACTCTATCTGAGCTTCCATTTAACGATAGGAAACTACCCTTCATAACTATCTCCCTTTACCATTTAATCACTTTTTAGGGACAGAAAAACATTTTGTCAAACAAAGTGCAGAGAAACGAAGGAAAAAAATCTATAGAGAGTTACCTAATATATATAATATTTGGAGACAAATAATTTTATATGTTTAGATAATGAGCCAATTGTTTCTCAGAAAAGAGAGACAGATAAAGCGGAAGAAATAAAAAGAGTGAAAACTTGAGGTAACAAAGTTACGCGGAAAGTCTCTGCCTTGTAACAACAGAGAAACACCAGTTACAAACTTGAGGGAGCACCCTTCGATTACTTCATATCACAATCTTTTTAATTTATTATTTGTTTTTTCACAGAAGCTTTTATTTTTCAAAGGGACATGTCACTTTCCTCTGGTGCTTCACTTTCATAATCTTATTTAATTGGTTGAGCAAACTAATGAAGACGGGAATTATAAGCAAGTGGAGGAAGAAAAAGATCATGAACTATCCTACCAAAGAAGACCAAGTTATTAAATCATTTCTAAATTCTAATTGAACCGGTAAGGTGCAAAACTGTAATTCATTAATATCCAAATTTTCAATCTTTATCGGTTTGGCTTTTCTTTTGTTACAGTTAGTATAAAGCTTTTATGGGTTTT